TTTTTTTTCGCCTTCGCGGTCTGATTCACAGTGCGACAATATATATCTGACCAGAAATCCGCATTGAATACGTCCACGACGGCACTCACCTATGCAGTCCATTCGAGGAAAGTTGGAGGAGGAGGGACGTGAGGAGAAAGAGTGAAGATGGGGGCGAGGGTTGGGGGACACGAGGAGGACGAATTGTGGGCGGTATATTCTGGTAAAGGTGGGGGGAGGAGGGAGGGGAAGAGGAGGGAGAGAGGAGGAGGGAGGGGGAAAGGTGGGGGGAGGGGAAGGAGTGAGAGCCTCTCTGCTGCTCTAAGCACCAAATCCGTGGAATGCCTACCGTCTTCCCCCGAACATAACGCACCCTAAAAGTGAATGTATACAAGCTATATTTGCGGCCAGATGCAGCCAAAATAAGGGTGCGTTGTGTTCGGGGGAAGACGGTAGTGTATCTTCAGTTAGGAGGTGAGGTGGGGGGCGATAAAATCGCCATTTTTTTTTGGGGTTCATTTTTTTGGTTTGTCCTTTTCACATTGAGTGGACGTTCGAGGGAGGCCCTAAATCTGATACCCGTTTAGACTCAAGTTTTGATGATCTGAGGTCATACTTGATCACGCTACCGTCTTCATCCGAATAGAGCGCCCGGTCATTATAGCCGTATTTGGAGCAGTTTTCAGTCCAGATACGGCTATTAAGACCGGGCGTTCTATTCGGGTGGAGACGCTAGCCATTTTCGGACTTACTCTACGTTTGCTGCACGTAATTGCTGTCAAATGCATCCAAAGATGGCCGTAATTGCGGCCAGATACGTCAAGGAAGCTCCCTGAGCGTTGGAGCGAGGCCCTAAATCTGATACGCTTTTGGACTTCCAAGTATTGATGATCTTAGGTCATACTCGATCACGCTAGAGTGTGGTAAGTGGATCCCGTGATACAAGCTCTCCTTTGCCTGAGACTATGGGAGCTGACTAAGGGTAAACTCATACTAGCACTTTCTTCATGGAATCTAGTCTTGATGGCGGTACTATACATGCAGGACAGTCCCAGGTCGACTATGCCAGTAACCTTGTCTTCGAAACTCTCCTTTCCTCCTCCTCCACCTCCTCCTCCTCCTCCTTTTTTTCCTCCTCCTGCTTCTCCTCTTCCTCGTCCTTCCTCTGCGAAACCTCAACTATAGTCTCTCTCGCGTTCATTCTCGAAGCTGATTACTCCTCTATCGTTGGTACGGCGTCGACGATCATAATAATGATTAATTAATAGTTAATAGTTGACGAATAGTTAATGAATAGTTGATGAATAGGTGATTAATAGTTGATTAATAGTTAAGTAATAGTTAAGCAAAAGAAATAGTAAATTAATAGTTAATCAATTCGTGAAACTGAGGATCAAGGGGGCCGCTGGTTAGCCTGGCTTGACAGTAATTAAAATTAATGTCTAATTAGAATGAAATCCTATTTTAAAGAACGTCTTCAATGTGTTCATATTGGTCCTAAATGTGCACGACTACAATTATCTGCTTGTTGACATCATTCTCGTCATCTTACATTTTAAAATTTAACCTAGTTTTTTATAACACCTCAGATTTATGGAATTCTGATTGAGAAAAAAAACGAAAAGAACCCTGATCGGACAGTCTCTCCAGCCAGCCGCACGGGTTCCGGAAAGCCAGAGAGTACCACGTCAGCTTCCATGTCGGCCACCGATATCTCCTCCTCCGCGGGCACACCCTAACCCTCCAAACATGCACACACGCACGCCCAGACACACACACACACACACACACACACACACACACACAGAACCCTGATCGGACAGTCTCTCCAGCCAACCGCACGGGTTCCGGAAAGCCAGAAAGTGCCACGTCAGCTTCCATGTCAGCCACCGACATCTCCTCCTCCGCGGG